CACAAGATTCTGAGGATCTTAATAATTCTAAGTAGTTAATCCTTTTAAGTAGGGGGTTCAGACTGCATCCATTCTTGGTATTGGATAGTACTCTGTGACTCCAGCACCAAGGAGTTAAAAGTGATTTGTTTAAGTTGATTCCACTATTTGACATAAATAGCACATAATTTCTAATTTCGCACATTCGAGATGGCCAAAAAATCTGGCCGCAAGCAAGTTCTTCTTTTCATTTACAAAAGTGGGATTCGTGCTGTTTAAGGAATGTACTGTGTTTCTCTAATCCCAGGCCTAAGTCAGAGGCAGCAAGTGAAAGACATTTTCTTCTTTCAGAAAGAAGCTATTATATTCATATAATTACAATATGCTTTTGTGATGACTCTTTCTAGCAAAATTATGTGCATTTGCTAAGCACCTTGTACTGCTTGAAGTGTGGAGTTATTTTTACTAGCATAGAGCCTGAAGTAAAGTTATTATTGCCATCATACCGAAGCATTCAAACTGAAAGATTATTTCAAAGAGAGATTTATTTTAATGTAAAGTCCAGATCCTGCATTCCATTCATGCCTCATGCTTACTGAAGCTAATGGGACTTAAGAAATGACACTTGAAGAACAGGCCCAAGTAGATCTTTCCTGCTACCAAACTGTGGCACATTATGATGCATATATATGGAATTAGGATCTTCCATCCCCTTACTCAGACTTTAACTCAAATACTGTGTTCTGTTTCTGAGTACTGATAAGCAATCACTTCTTTACTGTATAATAAAGCCAGTTCAATAACAGTTTGCAACACCCCCTCTATTTCAGTCGTAGCACAGGATAGAGGTCTGATGAATTCTATCCAGGGGAATGATATAAAACCAAGAGCTTCAGCCCTAATGTCACCATTGTGGTCTTTCACTGGCTTCCTAGAGGCAGATCTGCAAATGACGCTGAGGAAAACATCTTCTTCATAGTAATGGAAGAACTATCTTTGAATGTCAAAAGACATCACCATACATTCTGGAAGTCCTGAGGTACATTGCAATAAACTGCTAGGTGGCCTCTGCAGCCTGATATTCAGGAAGGACAAATTCCCTGTCATTCAGAAAACAATAACAACATCTGTTATAGGGTCTTACAGATAGGACTGAACAACTCGCTTTAACATCAGAGTTCTTCTTTGAGCAGATGGTTGGACCAGCTGACCTCCAGAGGTCCCTTCCAACTCATTTAAATTATTCTATGATTCTGTTCTATTTTGTCCTTTTTAGAAAGAGTAAAATGGTTCAAATTCAAAAGCAAAACAATTTCTTAGCTAAACAAAGAGACCAATGAAAGTAAAGTAATTCTCTAAAACAATCTTAAGAACACACTTGTGTTTCCTAGGTCTGAGACTGCAAGAAATCCACACAAAGCTTTCCTTCTGTTTGTTTCTGTAATCTGTGGTGTGCTGTGATGCTACACTGTCGGGAAGCAGCACAAAACTCTTCTATAGAACCATCTTGGGTTCAGACAGAATTAAAAGAAAAATAATAATCTCAGGTCTAAGTAGACTGGTAGGGCCACTGAATTCAGGAATACAACAAAGATTTCTGAGCAGCTGTTACTATACAAAATGAGTAACATTCTTACAAAGCGAAAGACTGCTATTTTAGTAGTTGTTAAAGTTTTCATTACAGCTAAAAGACACTCTGTATCAACGTATCATACTGGTTTAAAGGTCTTAATCTTAAAGAAAAAAAAATCCAAAATCTAAATTACTTATTTATTTCATCACCACTGAAACCACCTCAGACAAAGAGGTCAATTCCCTGTCGGGAAGGATTTGAATTCTGATTGCATATTTGCAATGAAAATAGCCTAGGTGCTAGGCCATAGAGTAGGCTGAGGTAAATACTCTCTCAGTGCTTCCTATTATAGTCGCTGCACTCTTGTATCTCCTACAACTCCCTAAACACGACTTGAGACAGTTCAGTTCATGAAGTAGAAAGATGCGTGGGTACAGTTCCCAATGCAGCTGGCTCCAGTAACTGCTGTCTTTCATAAAGACACGACTCCGCCAATATGCTGCTCCTGCTGTGTTCCTCACACAGTGAAAAAGGCTTCCTCTCCAGCAAATCGTCACTAGTAAACTTACAGTCAGTACCTCATCCATGTACTACATAACCTCCAAACTCCTGTAAGAGCTTTCAGAAGCTGCTAGCTTCTCGGGAGCAGGTAACTGGCTATATTTCAGTTCCACACGAGGCAGTGGCTCCTGCTGAGTGACTGCGTATGCTGTCAATCAGAACACAGATATTTTATTTTTAAAAAAGCAAATAAAAAAGTAAGTAAGTGTGACGAACTGCCACGTTCTGCCCCTCTTCACACGCCTTTGCTATCACTGTTGGTTATGTGAGAAAAATGAAGGCATGGCTGGGGCATATACCTACACACCCCAGTCCATGTGACAGCTTGCTCCTACCATGTGACCAGAACGGATCTCTGGGTGTCCCCTTATAGAGCTGGATGTACACAGATTCACACAAGATGAGTCAGCTGTATGGTCAGCAACTCAGGAACTCATCTGGTCTATCCCGGTCACAAGGTGACAGTATGTAAATCCATGTCATTTCTAATAGGTCTGTGCAATATCTGTCTTTGAAGATCTCCAGTTGTGGAGATTACACCACTTCCAAAGCTATAAAATATTCCCAGACTTCATTTAATCTTAATTACTTCTTGTCTCAGCCACTATGAGAATGCTGACCAACTTATTTCTTTATATAGGCATTTATCACTTTTACTACAAATATGACTTCCCGGTATGTTACAAAGTGTGGGATTCAGCTACAAATCTAGTTGTCAACATTTAAGTAACTACGGTGTAACATCTACTTATAAGCTCGATATCCAAGTTACCATTATAATTAGTGGACACCTAGATCAAGATATCTACCTAGGTGGACACCTAGTTCAAGATGAATATTGCTGTACTAATTATGATTTTTCCTCCATGAACTATAATGGTGAATTTGGAAAACTACTTGTAAGGTGAATTTCACTAGGGTTGGTGGCATTTTGGTCATAGGACACATAATCTTTCTTCTGGAAGAGAAGGCTGGCAAGAAAAGGGCTGCAGCTGGATCGATTGCTCCACTGGGCTGAATCTTGCCTGTAAACTGTGAGTTGCACAACCCAGCCTTACACTTGTGGGAGACATCATAGTCTTCTCACCTTTGAATCTTGTCCCTCAGTTTTTTCAGTTCAAACTGCTTAGAATTGAACCTCAGCTCACCAAGAGATGTTAGGCAGAAGACTATGCCTTCTACAAATATGTTGTCTACGCTCCCTTCTATACTCAGTAAGGAAGAGAGATATCTCCTGAGAATGATTCAGCTTTTGTGTGGGATGAACTGTTTCAGATGTCATCTGATTTTCTTTTTTGACTATAAAAGAAGCTTGGACAATGAGTTGATATCTCACTTCAAGAAGGCTAAAGCTTAAGGTGATCAGTCCCAAGCTCAGAATACATAAATCTCACTTTGGATAATGAAAACCATATTGTTAGGTAAACTTAGTATTCACACTTAAAAATGCCTCAACTTTTATTTAAACTTTAAATTATTCCAGCTTTCCACGAAGTTAGGCAAAAGTGAAATATAATGGGGAAAGATAGGAAAAAGAAAGCCAGCAGAGCCAAGATAGGGACAAACATTTAAAATGTGTATGTAGTCAGGCTGAGTCAAAGCTTGCAGATTTTATGGAGGAATAAGCGTTTGATTTGAAAGTGTTTGATATAGCAGGACTAGAAAGGTAACCATTCAAACAGGCAGGCACTTTTTAAGAAGCAAAAGATACCTCTCACAATCCACACCATCCAGTGTGACATATGTTACACAGCATAATTGAATGGTTATATAGACTTTCCTCATTCAGGGTGGCGCTGCATACACCTAAACCCCAAAAAACTTAAATATTTCTAAAATTCTTTGAAAAAATCCAGAAGAAAAGGTGGTTATCCATTTTGTAGCCCTTTATTTCGAACACAAAAATTGAATGGATTTTATACATGTGCTACTGCTACACATGTAGATTGCTCCAAGTTAAAACAGTAACAGTGTTAGCACATTTTCAAATAAGAGCATATGAACCTGTTATGGCAAAGGTGGAGCAATGTGTAACAACCTATATGCTCCTAGAAGGCAAGAAAGGAAAATGTCTCTTTTGATTTCTGAATCTGATTAGACGCTTAAAAGTTATGGCATTTTCCTTTAGACTGGAAGACTTAAACATAAAATTGTTGTTAGATTTTTTTTCTGAAAAACACAAGGGTGCATGCATTCTAGCAGAAAACAAACTTAAAGATTTTTCCAGTGGTTGTGGCCAACTATTCATCCTGTTCTAATTCAAGGTGACTGATAAAGTTTGGCATAAAGCCTATTACGGCCTTAACATGAGCCAGTGTAACTCTAAATTTTGTGGTTCAAACTACAGTTTAGCTTTTGTGACACTACTGCATGATTTCCATATACATTCATTTCCTGACTCATTTTTCAACTGACAAAGTCCAACAAATGAAACTGCAGTGGCATCAGCAGAAAATCCACCCAGGAACTCTACATGCTTGAGACCCTGCAACCACACTCCAGGGAGAAAACATTCATAGCCACAAAAACTCAGTTGAACCTAAGGCCAAATTCTGCTTCCCTATTTAAAACTTTACAGAAGCAATTTCCACCAAACTAAAAATTATCTAAGCTCTGGGAAGATTCAGTGTCCCAACATGACTGACTGCAATTTTTGGATAGTTGATTCACGTCATTTTCCTCTGCCAGACATTTAGACATCCATAACGCAAAGAGGAGAAGCAATGTTTCACTCTACCGTGAAGGTGAAGGGAAGGAAGGATGGCTGTAGGATTCAACTTTGAATGATTGTACAAGGTTCATTATATTATATCAGTGTTCTAAAACTCTGAGGTAGTTGATGAGAGTTCCTCCTTAAAAAAAATAGTAAATTAAATATTTGACAAACCTGTCTTCTTCCAGTAGACTTTGACCTGAAGTTGATTGTCTTGATAGAAAGGAGTTCCAATTTTAAGAAAACGAGTGGATTTTCTTCTTTGAAATGTTGGGTAAGGATCTGCCAGTCCCTTCTGGGGTTTCCCAGCAGAAGATGCCTGTTCCTCTGCAATACAAAGAACAATCAGGAATAATTTGTTTAAGTACAGTGCCGCATAATGACTATGTTAATAGTGCTGAAATTTAGAAAACAATACTATTTTTAATCCAAATTATCTTATTTCAGTAACTTACCTAAATAAAATTAATGTAATGAACAAACTGTTCATAATGGTTGAAAAGCATATCATTTGTTTGAAATTCAGCCAAAAAAATATTTTGGACAGAGAGAGAAAAAGATAAATATATATTAATATGAAAATGCTGTGTAAATTTGCAAAAGAATAGTAAGGAAAGGGAGTGTATTCATATCGTCAAAACCAAGAAATGTTAACATATTGACATTTTAAACAGGCATAGTATCTAGCAGTAGATCTATATAATCGTTCATGGTCTTATATTTGTGCAATGTTTGAATATACACAAAACCCAAGGACGGCATTGAGTGCAACCCACAGAGTGCCACATGTGGTTATTACATCAAAGTAAATATAATCCTTTGGTATGCTGTATAAGAACACTCTGGTCAGATTAAAGATCTTTCTTGCCCACTTTCCTGTTTCCAACAGTGAACAGTGAATGCTTAGGAAAACATGGTAAGAACAGAATTAACTTTGAGCAATTCTCTTGGTGTTATGTGCCTAGCCTCCAACAAGCAATGGTAACAGGATGTCCTTCGTCAAGTATTTCATTTGGAAACAGTTCATCAGCACTTAGCAGGGTTGACAGTATTTCTAGATATTTCCAGCTGAAAAGGCAGCAATGCTAATTCAAACTGCATTTTCATTGCACACTTGCAAATACATCAATTCTGATTAAGAGTCCAGTATTTGCATCAGATTAACAGAAAAGCTGTATTTATTTCAATAATACACCTAAATGAAAAATAAAGATTCTAATAATTAGGAAGTGGCAAATTATTAACTACATAGAGAGAAAGAAGGAAAGACTCGGGTTTCAATAATTCCCATGAGCAACATGTAAACTTGAACATTGTGCCCTACATGCAGCTTCAGCTGAAACCCACTTGCTTTTTTGCCAAATTTTACTTTGTCAAGCCTTTGCTTAATCTGACATAATTTTACTTTTTCTTTGCTTGTTATAAATTAAAATAAAACTACCAAACTTAAGCAAATTCTTTCTCAAGGCAACCATAACATTTATACTACCTAAAAGGAAATGAAAAAGTGATAGAGAAAAATACAAACTTAGATCTATTAGGTATACCCCAACTTAAAGTATTTTAATTTTACTAAATCTCTGCTTTGCTGTTCTCTGTCTGCTCCACTTCCAGAAAAACCAGGACACCGATTTAGAATATTTCTATATAAAGATCAAGAGACAGAGTCTTATTGCATTTCCCAGAAGTGACGCATACAAATATAGTGAGGCAACATATTTCTGAGTGTGGGGAAATATAACGCCAGAGGGCCAGGGTCAAAGCTCACAGAGGTCTGTAGGACTAAATTACTTCAGCGGGTTATGGACTACTCTCCATTCTGACAATAGGAACAGACACCTAAAAAACCAGAGCTTAATTCCACAGAGAGCAGAGCAACAGACAGTGGGACTTCAGCAAAATTGGCATGTTGCTTCTGGAACTACTTCCCAAAGGCCATGGAAGTCCCCAGATAAAGAGGGGGGCGTGAATGTCATGTCCTAGATAATATTTCAGGCGATATTTTTTTTCTTTTTCATATTTCTCCATCTGCTTCTGAGTATTCTCAAAAGTACCTCAAGCAGGACTGGCTCTGTACCTAACTAACTTCAGTGAGATTTAGAAGATGAATTTGCATCTCCTCCGGGAGCAGTTTTTATTTGCTTTTCTGTGTAAGCTATAATGTAGCCATTTTTTTAAAAAATGTCGAAAAAGGTCCAAATACACTTCAGAGTGCTCTATCCACTAAAATGTGTGACATCAGTGGTTTAGGTTCAAAGAATGTTAAATCCTTTACTTCATGGCTTTAACAGAGAGGATGCTCAGCTTTGTCTATAAACTTATTATTGAAGTACTCTATTGTAAAACAAATGTGTGTTTTAGTTCTCGCAGGCACTGATTTGCATTTAAAAAGAAAATACTGCTCATTAAGTAAATGGCTGTTCCTAACTTGAACATAATAGTCAAATACTTGATGTATATGAGAAAACAAAAATATTGCTCTATGACTCTGATTAAAAAAAATAATAATACAACAATTAATTAACCTTTTAGCCAAAACAGTCACTGCAGTAAAGGGAAATAAAGCACAAGGCATTAGAAAGTCTATGCTAATTAGACATTAGTAGATAGCAGACTTTCACAGAAACTACTGATGGACTGTTTTCTGAAGTAAAACAATCAAGGAGAGGGCAGATTATCCAAGCAAAATTGTGGAAGGAATTTAAATCCAGTTGTGATGATGATAGGAAAGAGGTGCCACTGGAGTGGACAGAAAATTATCAAACTCTCAGAATCAAAAACGAGGAACAGGGTAAATGAACTCTATTCGGTAGAGGATTTGTAAGTAATAAATCAGATGTGATCTGCATCAGATTTTGAAAAACACGTTTTGGAGAGGGAAAAGTGAAACAAAGATCTTCCTCTCCCAACACAAACCCATTGGTGATATACACCCCAAGCGACAGACCATTAGTGAGACCATGGAGAGTGGATACAGCCCTGCCAACGAAAGGGTTTCTCACAGTAAGTACAGAATGGCACCAAAAATGACCAATCCCAATTACTCAGCTTCAGTTTAGAGGGGTTTTGTTATATAGAAAGTCTTTATTTACTATCATGCTTAAAGACTATGATGATCTGACCTAATGTCAGGACTAGCAATAAAGCCTGACAAACATTAATTATCCCTGCTCACAAGAGGGGAAAGTTTATAAGGCTATTCTCATAGCAAAATCAGAGAAAGAAATTCAACAGCTTGCCCAATGTCACTTTGGCCAGATGTGTATAATGGCACTCAGAATTTCATCCCAGTTTTGAGAACACAGCTCAGCCTCAGGTGAAATCCAGGCACCAGCCTTCTCCTGTGACCTGGAGTAAAATAAACTCAGTTGCACAAAATAAACTCAGTTGCACAAAATAAACTCAGTTGCACTCAGTGGCACTAAGACATAATCTGGTGAAATGCCAGTCAAGATGACTGGACTGAAAACTAACACCTGAAAGTTTAGCACTGAGATCCAGAACTTCACAGAAACTTCTAATCAGAAGAGAAAAGAAGACTGGGGAGAGGGTGTCTGTGTAAAAAGAAAAAGGAAATTTTTGCTTGTTTATCTAGCAAAATGTGCTTTGCAGGGGAAAAAAAAAAAGGCAGCAAAACCAACAAAAAATTCTTAGGAAAATACTCAGTAAAATGAGAACATCTCTCACAAATACCAATGATACACTTCTAGTTGAGTTCAGTGGCTGAGTATACTGGAATTAAACACCCAGTTCCCACTGTAGTTTTTCTTCTACTGCATCTCCTGTGTACATACAGAAAAGAAAACAAAATGTGGTAACTCAAAGAAGATTTTGATATCACGCACAATGCTGCAAACTAGGTCACTTTTCTAGGGGATGACCGAAAGCACAGGTACAATCTAGGAGAGCCAGGATGGAAAAAGCAGAACTCGTATATTCACTTGCATTGGGCTTCACTGAGGCTTTAACCCAAACTTGCCTTATGCATACACTGTGGAGATTCAGGCTCATATTCTGGTATGGATTGCAAGCAAAGACTCAGTGTATTGATGAGATGAAAACCTGGCCCTCTTCTGTCACTTAAGATGGATCAAAAAGGTAGTAAAAAATAGCTTAATATTGGAAAAAGAAGGATCTTTATTTTATCTTCTTGCTACATTAAAATGTGAAGCAATTGTAGATATGAAGGTGTCTCATAGCTAACTACTTTAAAATATAAACTGAATATGCTTGCAGAAGGGTCCAGCAACAACAGCATTGATTAATTAGGGTGAGAGTAGTTATGAAAATGGCGACAAGTAAAGTTTAAACTTTGAATGTACTTTAAAAAAAAGAATGTAAATGGATGGAAAATGAAACGGAGTCAGAAGAGAATGTTTAAAATTATATTTAACATCTTATTATCAGAATTTTGCTGTACTGGTTAATCAGAGACACATCAGCAGCTGGGGAAGTAACTTGGTATTGTATTGTAATTGTACAAATAGCATTTAACTAAGACTAAGAATCATGGTTTGCTTTCAGATTCAGATATGCTTTCCAGTTATATTACTTAGCAAGTGAGGTTTTAAAGAAGATCTTAAGAAATAATGTGACAGCTAAAGCTCTCAAGATACTAATTTGAATGTGGGTCCTATGCATGCAATAATTTCTTGAAAATTCATTGCTTGTCAGGCATGGAACATTTCAGATTCCCTAACAGACGAGCTGATGTTTTATATCAGTTCATAGTAGATATATATTTGTGTGGTCCAAGAATCTGAATGAATGGGCTTCTGAAAATACTCAGGATTTTGAAAAGCCTTGCAAGCTAAAACTGTCCAACTAAGACAAAGACACAGAAATGGTTTTATTCCAGCCACTGACAAATATAGTATTTATAGTTGTATTAAAGAATATTAACACCAGTCATGCAAATACTTCCATTTTCATTGCATTTTTTTATTTCAGGTGAGTAGGATCGAAGACAAAGAATTAAACAAAAACTGTGACCAATTTTTAGATAAGAAATTTAACATTAAAAGGTTACTCGGTTTCACCAAGACATTATCACTATGATAGGAAATAGAAAGCTTTAGGAAAATTATTTTTAATTTGTGAAACCATCATATAAAACATTGAAATTCCAGATGAAGAAGAGATAAAGCATTCAGGTGTTTGGGTACAATTACTCACTATTATTCCTGGTGTCCTGAGTGGTGCTAAAATGGAGAGAAACCTTAGCACTTTTTAGGCGTATCTGACCCCAACGTGTTACTGCCTGCAGTTCTACATTGTAGTTGCTGTTGGGTTGGAGTCCCTCCAGGACCACGTAATTTTGGGCCTGTAATAGAGGAGAATAAATATACAAAATAGTTATAGTATTACTGAAACACAGGCCCTTATTAAAAGCAGGCCTGTTAACTTAGGCACACTACTCTTTTGAGAATTAGAAAACAAAACTCATGTATAAATTTCAACACATGAAAATTGCCTTTCTTTAAAAAATATATTTTATTGGACTCTGTTTTTCCGTGTCATTTTTAAAATACTGATCTTCTTGATGTTTACATAATTTTGGTAATTACTTGGCAAATACAGACACCTATTGTTTAGGTCAAACCTAAAGGGGGTGGGTTTTTTACATATTACAAGTTTTTTTTCTGATGCCAAAATTATTTTAGCCAAAGAAATTTAAACCTTTTATTCCCCCATTTCTGTGTTAGCAAAGTAATTGAAAACTTTTTTAGAGACAGTCAGTCTGAAGACAGCTAAAATCCAACATTTAGTACATTTGTCAATATTTTCTATTTGTTTCAACTGTTGAAAACAAAAAATGAAAAACAAACAAACAAACGAAACAAAAGCCACAGCCAAAAATACCCTCTCATTGGTAAGAACACTTTTCTGCTATAGAATGGAAAACAGAAAAGAAAAAATACAGTTTCCATTGTCATGGAAGTGTCTTAAACGGGGAAACACCAGAATAGGATTATCATTCTCCAGTCAATAATCCATAAATTAAGGTAAGTCCCATGATACTGCAAAGAAGAGCTAAGGCTCCTCAGTATTCTTACATTTCTAAATTTCTTTAAATGTATTTGTAAAAATACCCTTCTAGCCCATATCTCAGACAGAAGACGTTACTCCATGTTTTCATTAGAATAATTTGTGCCTCTGAAGTTTGACAGTCTATCCAGACTTAAAAAGATAACGACATACTGCCATATTTAACACTTCAGGGATTTTCAAAAGCATTTCATATCAGTTACCTTTACTTGTTTTGTGCTGAGATATTTATAACATTGAATATAACACTAAATTAACACTGATAATATTGTAGTCAAATATTATTTGAATGTCTACCTGGAATGATTTCATATGGAAATCATTATAAAATTATTTAGACTAGACTACATCTAAAGGTAAAAACTGGGTAGAAAAAAAATCTTTAATGATCTTTAAAAAATAGGATTTTTCCTTTTTTTTTTTTTTTTTTTTTCCATTTTCTGCTATTTCAATTTTTAGACAAGGCTTGCTACAATCAAAGGACCATTGATTAGCAGTAGCCTCAGGAGTGTCCTGTGGGAGAAGTCTAAGTCTCACTGGCATTGCCGTACAGTTTTATGACATGCTGTCGAAGAAAAAGTGACTCAATGACTCAGGAGTAATATGAAAGATATTCTAAGAGTCTGCCTTTTCTCTAAATTATGCCTTGGCTCTTCCGGATTTTCCTGTATTCATGGTCAGAACTTGGTCCCAATTATAAAAATGTTGTATGTTGGATTCAAATATAATACAAATATATACAAATAATATACAGGAGTTTTGTTTTCTAATTTCAAAGAGTAGTATGCCTAAGTTTTAACGCATTTATACATAGGATGTACCCTACACAAAGTGCCAAGACAACATTAAGGACCCAGCTCAATTTTAAAATTCTCTGGGTTTTGTGATTTAAGGACCAGCTTGTGGAGAGAAAGCCTCCCTGTATCTTTAGGCTGTAGCCTGTGCCATGAAGATCTCTAGCCAACAGCAGCTTTCCTGAGAAGCACAAACATTTCTACCTAGCCCAGTCCAACTCTACTCCTACCTTGCCAAAGTGATTTTTTAAAAGTACAAGAAAGAACTAACTTTCTTTTCTATGCATATTTACCTTTTTTTTAAAAAAAAAAAAAAGTATTTAACTGAAGTAGAAACAAAGAACCAAGTTGTCTCAGCCCCTGAAATTACTTCATATTGTCTACATTTGCGAGGAAATTTCCTTTTCCTGCCTGCCAAGCACAGAGCTGGTGGTGGTGGCTCTGCAGCCTCCGGACCCAGATCGCCCATGAGTTCCCATGAGAAGGCACGGGTCCAGCATGCTCCCGCGGAGGTGCCTCTGCTGTGTCCAATCTGGTGCAGATGAGCTCAGCACACAGCCGTCAGCACCTTTACTTCTCTCACGGTTTAGTGACTGAGGGACAGGGAGGGAACTAAAACCCTCCGGCTCTCATTCATCACAGTGCAAGTGGGCAGCCAGAGACAAAACACAGTGTTAACATAGACACGGGACCAAATTCTCACCATGCATTTATTAAAAGCACTGAGAATTAAGTCCAGCCTGTTATCTTTAATGGATTTCTATTTCTATCAACTACTTTAAAACAATAAGCTTAAGGGTACCACAACAGATATTTTTCCAGTAAAGGACTATTTGATACGTCATTCAAGAAACTCATAGGAACTTGCTGCTATGGAAATATGTCAGATCTTTGGTACAGCAGCTTATTTAAAGAGTTTTGGGTTTGTTTTTAACTTGGACCTATACTGGCTATTTAATGGTTATTCCATATGATAGCGTCACAAGTTTTGTTTGCATAGTGAAAGAACAACGTGAGAAATGATGTTAAGCTTTTTAAATACAACAAGCACTGTATCTTTAAGAAGCACTAATAAAATAAGCTTGAATTTAGAGGAAAAGAACATTTAACTTTCTATTCATGTCTCCTGCAAGATCATATAGTATTTACATGCATTTTAGGGCAGAAGTCTACTTCTCTCCCTGAGTTCAGTGAAAGATAGAGTTTGAGAGATCCAAACCGTCTATAGCGTTGGTGATATTAAAAATTAAGACTACTATTTTACCAGCTGCTGAAATCATTGCAATTTGTCACATATTTTATACTTACACTCCATTTTGTGCCAGAAATAAGCCATATTTCTGTCTCATTTACTGTTTTCTTTCTTACCCCCTCAGTAATCTTCCTTTTCTTTTTTTTGGCTGGGATTACATATTTGCTGTATGTCCAGCTCCAGAAGACTTTGTAGTGGTGCACTGGGATATCAGGCTCTTCTGGAAGATCCCAAGTAATCATTACATTTACACTCCCATCATTGTTTGCACTGATATTGGCAATTCTGATATTAGATGGAGCTGGTGGAGCAGATGGATCTGGAATTTAAAACAAACGAAAAGATTCTAAAGTAAAGATCATCTTCAATAAGGTAAAGACCATCTTCATCTTATGTATTTACCAGACATTGAGCTGGATTAGACACTCTCGATACACCGAAGAAAATTCAGGCAAAAATTTCCCATAAGTAATATGGCTTCTTGTAATTTCTAGAAATTCAAGTGCTACTGAAATAAAAATTATGGGTTAGCATCTTTTTTTGTCATTATTCTGTATTGTTAATAGTTCACGAATGTTATGAAGCTTCATCAAAATGTACTAGACTATGAGTTTTACTTCTGTCATGCACTACTTTAAATACATAGCGAATGTAAAACACTTGTGTTCTACAAGTGGCCTTGTACAGTCATCACAGAATTGCGTGGCGAAAACACTCAATATAATTTCGGTGTTGCCAGACAATTCTCGGCTGATAAAACTATGTTTCTACATGTTGAATCTACCACGATAGGACCTAAACGCTCCCTTAGAATAAGTATAATTAAGATGTAACGATATATTATGATGTTATAGAAGTCTATAGGGTTTTTTTAGAACAACAAAAAGCAATTAGCTACCCTTGTGATTTGTTTCCCTATTCTGGTTCAATTTCTGTTCAATATTAACGGAAATATTATTCCTTTAGTTGTCTCTGTGCTGACTCTAGAGTCAAGGCCACTTGACAGTCAGAGATTTTAATATTGAACCAAAATTTTCCAATATTGGTTTCTTCCTTATATGTTAAGAAAATGTTAGGACTGACTTACTATATAATATCCCGGCCCTGATTAATGTGAATCAATGGAAATTTTGCAACTGAGGTTCTGAAAGTCCAATTTGCTATTTACTAACTCCTACTTTTTAATCCTGCTTTTTAACTCCTACTCATTTTTTTTTTTTTTTAAATGCCCGTGGTAGCCAAACATTTGTGACAAAATATAGGGAAATTGCAAAACCAAAATGTAAGTAAAAGTAAACAGTGTGACACAAAAAAAAATTAGAAGTATATCAGGCAGAATAAAGGAAATTCATAGTAATTAAGGCATGCTATGAACTTGTAGCCAAGAAAAAACAATCATCTGATTGAAAAAAAAAAAATTCATATAACTTTTTAGCAAATGAGCCACCACTTATTTGCCAGAAATAAAACTGGAGGTGTGCAGAGGGGACACCAGGCATTCATTTACTTCATGGTTCACCTGCATCTTTTTATAATGGTAAATGAGCTGTTAAATAAACTTTCCAGACTTACTAAGTTCATCAGATAATCCCTCTGACAAATGGTCTCACTGAAAAATTCTACCACTTAGTTCATGCAAACTGACACATTCAGAATTAGGAAAGACAACATTTCCTTTTTAAAGATCAGCAGATGTGAAATAATGACTTATTTCTGTTATTTAATAGGACTCTTGGTTAAATAACAATGGATGCTCCTGTTTCCTCACACATGCCATTTTAGTTAAATTGTAATGGATGCCCCTGTTTCCTCAAACATATAATTCAACCTAACTTTTGGCTATAAAAGTTACAAAGCATACTTGAGTTTAAGAATTCTGGAAATTTAACTTAATTTTCAAAATAATGAGAATTTCTTATTCTTCTCACTCATTTTTTTTTTTTTAATCAGCTTGCAAGCCAGTTCCCTTTATTATTTTCTGCCTTTGGAGAAGCACTATTCTTACACTTATTTCCTTACCTGTGAAGTAGCCAACAACTCCATCTTAAAGTATACAAAGCCATTTCTATTGGAGGGGATGTATTTAAGAGAGTAATTTAGTTAAATGGTTTGTACTGTTCTCTGACACAACTTTCCATTTACTTCTATCATTTAGTAAAATAAGTAGGTATAAAATGAAATTTAGGTACAATAAATATAAATAGAGTCATGATTCATACATCCAAAATCCAAAGTATTCATTTTCACTGATTTAAAATGTTAGGGGGTTTTATGTTATATGACAATGTATTATGGCAATAAAACATTCATAACCTGAAGTGCAACATGATGATATTACTGTAGGTGAATTATTCAGGTTATCTCCCAGAAGTACTATGAATCATGTATTATGTATATATAGCATATGGGACAGAATTAAAGTGTTTCAGAGAATATGTCTTCACAAATGGCCAGATATAAACAAAAACAATTCTAACCATAACATATGTTTGTCTTCATTGTGCATCTATAAAAAACTCTAAGAGTCATTAAAAAAACCCTAGAAGTTAAAATAAATAGGTCTTCTGGACATAGTACATGATTAAAATTATTTTGAATTTCTATTCACCAATTTTTCCTAGGTCTAAAAGCAAATGACCAAATTCACATTCTTCCTTTTCAAATGTTTCTGTCATCACAAGAATGCAAGTTAGTGTGTAATTTTCTTTGTATAAAGTTAACGATTGACCAAACCAGAGCTTTTATATGTCTCAGAATCACGGGAATTATTTTTTTTTAAGGTAACTTCAAACATCCATGTTTTTCCCAATAACATAAGCAGAAAAAGAAAACAGTAAAGAAGAATTATGTGCCTACTGAAACCAACAGATCATTTCTTCTGATTTCTATAGCACCAGCATTTCACCCTGTACTTTTTATAATTGCACAGTTTATTGAAAACAATACTTTATCAGAAGCGTTTCTTCTGTGTTCACTAGAAAGAGTCCAGTCAGCAGACAAAACGCTGATCCATACTTCAAAGAAAACCTAGTAGCATTTCTCCTTTGCTATGGAAGAATGTAAACATTTTATTAAAAATCATTGGGTAATTACAGTTAAGGAAAGAAAGAAGGGCCTCTTAAAGGAAATATACATGTGAAATATTACAGCAATAACAGAAACGTTTCCCCCTTTCTTCAACGTCTCTCTTTTGCAAGCCTTGCAAACATCATCCACAAAAATGC